TGGTAGGTTTGAGGGGATTCTGAAGTAGCTGAATGATGAGAGAGGTGGCGGGGATGTGGAATGTCAGGGCCTGTTGTGGTCATGAACATTGTTAAACCAGAGGTATGGGTAGTCAGGGCTATCAGGCAAGGAAGATATTGGGCCTGGTGGGCGAGGGATTGTTAGTGCTGGCCAGTTGAGAAGGGTGTTGGGGCAAATGAATGAGGGCATTTGTCTGGAAGTGGCCCAATAAACTTCAATTCCCACGGTAGAACACTGGATTTAAGAACATGAAGTGAGCAAGAGAGGACACCTGATGAAACAGCACGAAAAAGAGAGTGGACACCAGATAAAATAATGAGAGAGAGAGCAAACATAATGTAAAACAGCATCAGAGGGATAAAGTGAGAACGAGGACTCCAAATAAAACAGTGCAAGAGGGAGAGAGAGAATGCCAGATACTACAGTGCGAGGAGAGCAGAAAATAAAATCCCCAAGTGACATCACAGGAAAATTGTGTGTTGATTGGTTGTTTGAACCATGTATCAATCTAATGATTTTGGGAACTGTAAATTTCTAAAGTAGCACAGGAAAAGAGAAGGTTACAGGTACGCGAGAGGGAGTGATTTGTGCGTAATGGTTAAAAAAAATCTATTTTCTACTAATCTCCAGTTTATAATTAACAGTAGCCTAAAAATACACGGTTAGGATATGCAGGGCATCTCGACCAAGTGAAATGCCTGTCTTGTAGTATGTGGCGTCATGGATGTGTTATGCTCCTGCTATTGGAGAGTGTTTAAATTAACTCAGAAAGAATATGGGAACCATAGAATACTGGGAGAGACAGATAGCAAACTGGGAGAGACAGACAGCAAAATAAAGAATAGTAAATTAAATGTGGAGTCAGAGTAAGGGAGAAAATAACAAAGTTTAAATCAAGGTTTAATTGCATGTATAAGAATGCATGGAGTATAACAAACGATACTGAGGAGTTTCAAGACAGTTCCCTTGTGGGATTTTGATGTTGTGTCAACAATGATGACCTGGTTAAAGGGAGAGCAGGTCTGGCAGCATCTGTGGAGAGGATTCAGAGTTAAGGTTTTGGGTTGAATGGCCCTTCCTCAGAACTGATGGTAGCTAGGAAAATGTCATTTTATATGCAGAATCTAGGGTGGGAGGAGGGGATAAGGAGTAAACAATAGTTGGGATTAGAGCCCAAAGGGAGAAGAGCAGTTAGACAGTCAAAGGAGTGGGTAACGATCTGGCTAGAAGAGTGAATAACTGTTAATGGGGACTGTTAGTGGCTAACAATGGGTGGTGTGTAATAGCTCACTATGTCATACCAAGGCCTAGTTGTGGGGGTTAGAGTAAGGACATGGGAGAGCTCAGGCCCTAAAATTACTGAACTTGATATTATGTCCAGAAGGCTGCAGGGTCCTCAGACAGAAAATGAGGTGCTGTTCTTCCACCTTGCACTGAGCTTCACTGGAGCACTGCAACAAGCCTGAAATATTCCTAACTACAAAATGTTCACAAAAGATAGGAAAAGGAACGTATCACGAGGGCTGGTAGTTTTGGTTAAAGAAAGCCTTGCAGTCCTGGTGAAAGAGAATTTTTTAGATGGTTTAAGGACAGAATCAATGTGGTTACAGGTAAGGAATAAGAAGGGCGCAATGACATTGATCAGTGTAGTCTACAGACCACCACCTAGTGGGAAGAATACAAAGAAAATAATCTGCAAGGAAATTACAGAGAGGTATAAACATCATTAAGTATTTCCAGTGGTGGACTATAATTTTCCATATATGGACTGGAAAAGTGGTGGTGAGAGTGGCAGCGTGGGACAAGCATTCTCAGATCATGTTCAGGAGAATTTCCTCCAGCAGTATGTGTCCAGCCAACACGAAAAGAGGCACTCCTTGACCTGAACTTTGGGAATGAGATAGTCTAAGTAAATCAAGTAATGGTGGGTTAACATTAGGGGACAGTGGTGATTGTATCATAAGGTTTAGGATAGTGGTGGAAAATGGCATTGCTTAATCCAGAGTAAGAATAATCAGAGACATCAGCTGGAGAGCTGATGTTAATGGGGTAAGAATAGAACTGGGCCAGATATTAGCAGAACCAAAGGTTGGTGAGAAAAATAGCAGTTGAGCAATGGACTACCTTCAAATGAGTGATAGTTTGGGCACATTTAAGGTATATTCTCTCAACAGAGAAAGGCAAGGTAAACAAATCCAGAACTCCCTGGGTGATAAAGAGGATAGAAATTATGTTAGAGGAAAGGGTAATACTTATGACAGGTGTCAGATAGTGATTACAATTGAAAACCAAGCTAATTTTTTTCTACAGAATGCAGAAGGTTCAGAGGGCAATGAAAAAGCAAATGCAAGAAGAGGGATTATGAAAACAGATTCTCAGACAACCTGAAGGGAAATCCTAAAGTTTTCTATAATCTCATCAATTGTAAAAACATGGTAAAAAGGAGTAGGGGTAATTAGGAACTGAAAAGGGGATTTACATGGAGAGGAAGCAGCTATCTTTATCTATGAGGCAGACCCTGGTGACAGAGGAGGAAACCCAGTCTCTAGAGGAATTTAAAATTGATAAGGGAAGTGGTGTTGGATAAGCTGCTGGTAGTGAAAGTTGATAAGGCACTGTGACCAGATGAGCTGTTTCCAAGGATATTGAATGAAGTCAGAGTGGAAATTGCAGAGGCACTGATAATAATCTTTTATTCTTCCCTGGATTTGTGAGTGGTACTGGAGGATTGGAAAATTGCAGAAATTACACCCTTATTTAGAAAAAGGTTGCAAAGATGACCCCAAAACTTACAGACCAGTTTGTCTAACTTTGGTCATCTCGAAAACAATTATCTGGGATATGTTCATAGCCACATAGAAAGATATGGGTTGTTTGGAAGATTTGTAAAGGCCAAGAGTTCAGAAGAGGTTTGCAAGATTTGAGGTTCCAGGAATGAGGCACTTATGGAATGAGAAAAGATCAGAGAAGTTGGACCTATTTTCTTTCTTGGAGAAGCGAAGGCTGAGGGAAAACTTGATAGAAGTTTTCAAAATTATGAGGAGTCTGGACAGAGTTGGTAGAGAGAAACAATTCCCACTTATAAAAGGATTGAGAATGAGAGGGCACAATTTTAAAGTACCTTGCCAAAGAAGCAAATGCAAAGTGTGTAAACAAAGCATTTTTTCACATCAACTAGTTGGGGTTGGGAATACACCGTCTGGAAATGTGTCACAGGCAGGTTCAGTTGAGGTATTCGAGAGGGCATTGGATGATTACTTCAATAGAAACAATGTGCAGGGTTATGAGGAAAAGGCTGGAGGTTGGCATTAATGTAAAATGCCTAAAGTGCCAGTGCAGAAACAATGGGCCGAATGACGGCCTTCCGCACCTTGAACATTCTGTGATTCTGAGTCAGCTGCATCTGGGAGTCAGGTTTGAGAGGTATAACTCCAGTCTGCCCTATTCCATACGACTATTTGGCCATTGGAATATCATTTTCATTTTAATGTACTCGTTTTGAGCAGTCGTTTAAGCACTGTAATTTATAAAGCCAATTGTCATTTTGCATTCAAATATGTCGTTGTGTCATTTTCATTTATATTTTAAAACCTTCTTTACTGCATTATTTTACTGCAGCCGTTTACTTGCACAAGGTACTGCATCTAAAATAGGCTCTGTGAGGAAATGGCCATCCGTCATTGGTTCTTCGCTTTCAACATAACAAATTCCTGATTTAAGTAACCATTTTTCTAAGAGTCGCGGTTCCCAGTTGCAATATAAGGACAACATGCTGAAATGCAGTTTAGGAACTGGAACACTTCCCCTCGTTTACATCCCAGATCAGAGTTTGCCGAGATACTCAAGAGTTTCAAGGCGGTAGAAAACAGTTTTCGAAGCAAACTTAAGGTTTTAAATTCCGTTTACAACCTGGTTTTCTGGGGACAAGGTGGGATTTATTCGTGAAAAAGGCAAATGTTTCCTTTAGTTCTGAAGCTAAAGACAGACATCTGTGCCTTGCACACTCTTTCTACTTACAGTTGCCTTCTGGAGAGTTCTTGTGGTGCAGTGGTAGCGTCCCTCCCTCAAAGTCAGAGGGTCCTCCTCCAAAGGTGTGTTATAACCAGTCTAAACAGGTTGATTAAAAATACAGTAGCTACATATTCCTTTCGGTGACTGATTTCTAGCTTTGATCCTGCAGTCCACAGGATACAGTCTTGGCTCACGACACAGATACCAGGGACTACGTATCTGAATATTATTACGGGACTCGAGTGAGTCGTGATAAATAGCGTATATTCTAGAGCAACAGTCCCAAGCTTATCTCCAGTGTGAACATGTTACCCTAAAGGATAGTGCTCAGAACAAATCCCTCAAACAGCAAACAGCATATACGTGAGATTAGGGAGATGGGGCATGCTCGCATGGTTAGATGAGAAAAATAAGTTAACATTTCTGATCGATGACAAAAAGTCATATATCTGAATTCAACACTCTGCGCAGAATCTGCCAGATCTGTTAAATCTTCCCAGCATTTTCTGTGTTGTTTCTGAATAAAATATTTTCAGCATACTGGGTATTTTGTGATTGTGTCAACGGAAAGTTAGATAAAGGAAGTGTGGGTGAGAGGTGCATAAACATTGACTGAGAGCAGATGGGCCGAATGGGCTGTTTCCGTGCTGCAAATGTGATCCATGTTGAGTTGCTGATTGTGTGTGTACTTCCAAGGAAAAGAGAGCGAGAACCGGAACCCAGGGTTGTAATACTCTGGGATATTAAATTAAATGCGGACAACGTAGCGAGAGATGCGTTGAGAAATATACGGACTTCTCCGTACTTGAGAAGACAGAGTGGGCGAATAGGTGCTGCCTTGCAGGATGCATCCGTGTGCACTATAACTTGAAGAACCTGCAATCGAGCGGGTTACTTTCAGCGGCAGCAGAACGTCACGTTACACGTGGTCGGCTCCACCGGTTGGAGCTATCCGTGGTGCTGACGGCAGCCGGGAGTCGCGACGCTGGCTCACATAACTAAAAAAACCTCGTCAAGATTCAGGCCAACTCCCCACTTGTGCTTCGGCAAGTCAGATACAGAGCAACGACTTCTTTCTCTGCCGCGGAGACTCCATCTAAATTGACTCGGAAAGTAGTTGGGTGAGACAGAACAGAAAGATACCCTTTCGCTGTGAGCTGGCAACCTCTGGAATGAATAAGAATCTTTTCTCCCCGTATCGGTTAAAAATGAGCACGTTATGTTTACTTCTAGCTTGTCTGATGACGGTCTATGGTCAAGGTAAGGCTTTGGCTGCAAAAAAAAATAATGTGTATATTCATTGTAGTTAAAGTCAGTTAATATAGGACTGATACTTCGGTTGTTCGGCAGGGAAAACAAATGGAGAGTATTCTCTCCCTAACCCCCCTTTCATTTAGAATACTTCTGGTGTGTTATTGGATTTTGGTTGCACATGTAGGTACGGCGCAGTCAAAAGTCCGCACGGCGATATTATTTGCTGAATGACTGGATGTTAATTAATGAGCTCCGGAGACGCTTACATTGTGCAGGCAGCGTCGATGGAAGGGTTAAGTTGAAAACTGAACAATGAAATGTGCGTAGAAAACTCATTAAATATTTTTCATTGGGTATAGTTTTCAAATTTTGTTGAATTGTCGCGCCGTTTGTTTTAAAGTGCTTGACAGTGTGCATAATTGCTATCTGTGTCACGAGTGAGACAAATATCTACAAACAAGTTCTAAAGAATTGCCAATCAAGCATTTCTAATCCTAATGTTTATCCCTGTTCGTCAATCTGATTAAACTAATTGACATCAGATAATGGGACCAATGATGAATTGTTAATTGGTGTATGAATTAGTCTTCCCTTGTCACCTTCTGTTAGGGTTACCGATTGTACCGTCACAAATTGAGTTCGTTTTATTTTTCCAGACAGAAACAATTTCCCGTACAGTTATCACCAAAATTTATTGTAACCCCTTTAAAATCGTGAGAAACATCGACGAAAATGAAATAATGCCGGAAAATTTAGTTTGCCGCGACGCTAAAAGGTAAAAGTGGAGTTCAGTCAGTACGCCCTCGCCTTCAAGTAAACCAATGTTCATAAAATAATGGATGTTAGTTTAACATGCGTTGTATTTTGAGATACAGGCACCAGTGTACTTGTAATAGATGTGGTTCGCTATCGGCAGATCGTGCTCTAACTCCATGGTCGGTAGTGCGCCCTCCACTGTGTAAATGAGCTTATCCATTTATTCCCTATACTGTTCGACTCAAACCTTGTCACAACGACTTTGTAGGCTGGCCAAATATCACGTGCTTACACAGACGATCCCTGAACATAATCAACATTTAGGAATAGAAATGAACTGAAGCGGTCGTTTCTAAAGTGCTCGTGCTCCATTTGTGTAGGTGAAGTTTTGGTTTGAGTGTCACTCCCGAGCCAGAACTATTGACCTAACTGAACCTGATTAAATATTCCTATGGTTATCTTAAGCGCGCGACAGCTTTCCACAATTGCCGGTTAAATACAAGTGATTGAAGCAGAGGAACCCCGAGGATATCGTGCCATTACTTTTTGCACTATTCTCCTCTTCCCCACTGGTGATGTTCCTGATAGTCTTGGTTAATAAATTGTAATCCTTTCAAATGACCGGACAATGGGAAGGTCGAGTCCTCAAAACTGCCAAAGGTGAAGTTACCTTTGCTACAACGCAGCCACCCAATTTAAGCTACGTGAATTGATTGAAATTTCCAGGTTGCTACCCTTTCGAACGTTTTAACTGTGGGTCATGTTTCAATCGGGTCATTAACTGGGTCGTGTTACAAACAGCCTCTGTCCTTGACCAAGTGGAACTGAAAATGTGATTTCTGTTTGCAGATCATAGAGAAGTGTCTTGTGTCTGTTTTTGGACCAGATCCCAGAGGCACAGTTGTGAAGCCCATTTGCTACCAAAACATTTCTAATCAGTATCCCTTATATAACTTTATTTGGGTAAAAAAGCAAAACTTCCTAAATGATATACAGATTTTTTTTTAGTGCATGTGCACTCATCCTGAGGTGATACACACGAGGTCTAATTAAAAGAATAAACAGTAATATACTGCTCTGGATTTTCTGTCTATAAGCGTGGAGATGGTATTTTCTTTAATGATTTAGTTTATTGGTTTAATCAATTTAGTTTATTTTAACCTTCTAACTGCACTCTTTCTGGAAACCAGCCAGAGTGTTTCAGTCCCCTCTCATTCATTTATTTAGTTGCTCAATTACATTTTCTCCTTATTTTGAATTGACTGTAGGAAGGTAAGGAGAAATGTCTGATCAAGAGGAGTGGAATAAAACCACAGTGGAAGTGGATTGGATGTCCTGAGAGGATGGCTGGCAATAGCTGCATTTTATCACTGTCACAGCTAGCAGCTATTTCTACTTCCTGTTTTTGAAACTGCCTTGCAGTATAAATGTTGTTGTGTAAACGAGGTTGTGCTTCTGAATGCTAAAAGATCTGATTTTGTGTCTAGGTCTCTAAGTCTAAATAAAAGAATAAGTTCCAAATGAATGCATTGCCTGGGAAGAGAGTTGAGATGGGGAAACCTCAGAGCCTTTAAAATGAACTTGGATGAGCAATTGAAGTGTTGAGGCATTCAACATAAAGGCACTTGGCGGGGGGGAAGTGGGACTAGTATAGGTGGTATTGAATTTTTGGTGGTCTAGACTTGATGGGCCAAAGAGCCTTTTGTACTGTGATTCTATGACTCTGGCATTTGTACCTAATTAGTTAAGTATTATCGTAACATTTTCCCAGCTCTGATCTTCCCTAATATTCTACCTTCACAAAGTTTCTTTCACTATAGCTTGAGGTTTGTAGTTGCATTTATTGCATTGCCCAAGAACATTTAAGCATTCAGAATAAACTACTGTTTGCAATGCTAATGTTCCTATTGTAACTGCCAAGAATCTAGTAAAAATATTTAGCTTCTGAAGTGTTATAAATTGACTGGACTTTCTGAAGACGAGGCCTCTAAGCTAAAAATGCATAAATCTGAGACCAATTAGGTTTGCAACATCTAGATGTCAAGATCATTGCACCAAACTGAAGTTTTATTTTACAAATTATGTCTGAAGCATTTTTTGATTAGACTTGTAATCAATATAAAGTTCTCAGTTGCAAATAAATTACATTAACCACATAATTATTGCCAGCTAGATAACCTTGGCAACCTGAAACTCCTGCAGGAGATTTCATTTATGAAGTGAAGCAGATAAAGACCAACTGGTCCAATAAAACCATCTAATAGTGTCATGCTGTAATGTAAGCATATAAAGAAAACCACTTATGCTCAAGTTCAGCCCAGTCTCTTTCCCAACCCCTTTCTGATTCATACTAACTTGCACACCCCAGAAAATGGCAAAAATAAATATTAAAAATCATTGGCCAATTTAGGGAACAAAAATGGGAGGACCCTTTTGATTCCCAAGGTGAGCCAGTGCTTGATATGCATCTTTCTAATACTCACCTCTTTTCTGCATGTCACATTATTGATCATACTTAAGGACTCATGCATCTTCCTTTTGATTGTTAGCTGTTAATCCATACATTATGCACATGCTGGTATCAGGTTTGAGGTTAATTACTTTCTATAATTTCTATGCTAAGTTGACATGTTGTTTCCTGATCTCCCTAATTTATTTGCTCAATTTGTCTATCTATTTCTACTAAATATAAATCCTTCATTATGTTAAAGAGCTTAATCAAATCTTCTGTGTCTACACTGTTCCACACTAAAATGCTCTTGTTTGCTAAGCTTACCACTGTATCTGATAGCCTTTATGTTCATTAATACATTTGTCATCCTCCTCATGAAACTTTTTTTCTGCTTTATGAAATATTAGTATCCATTCCAGCTTCCACCTCTGTATCCCAGAATGTGAGAGTCTTCATAGTGTACACATGCTTGGAATTACTGCTACCCACGTGTCTATTTAAAATACATTATCCAGATAGAGGATGGATTGTCTAATCTCCCATCCATTTCAAACAGTCTATTTGTTCATTTAAATCTATTTTTGATTTATTTGTTTCATCTAAGGTCCCTGAATGTAAAGTTTTTGTTTTATGATTCAGATGGATGTAGACGTGTCCAAGACATGCTCACCTAGATCACTGAGAAAGATAAGGGGCAACAACTGTAACACTGATTTCACTAGTAACTGGACACCATGCAGTACTAATAAAAGCCACCTTCTGACTATGAGAATGCACCCTATTCTGTTTCAGACTACAAGTCCCACAAGACCTAAATTTATTAAGTGCTTTTTGAGCAATATATATTTTTATTTGTTAATCAATGTGATGTAAGTAAAATATATCATTAAAACATAATATGCATGTTTAACTTTATTCTCACTGGCTATTACTTTTAAAACCATAGTTTTAGAATCCCATAAATTGTCTTGGATGATGATTTCAAACAGAATGCTCTGAGAGTTGATCGCAGCTCTCCTGTGACCAGCAATAAACAAAAATACTCAACTTGCTGTTTGCTGACTCACACGATATTGCTATTTCATCATCCAAAGAATGGTTTAAAGAAACTTCAGCCAATGTCAAACGTTGACTTTTCAATTTCCTTTTACATTTTTGCTTAAAAGAATGGCAGGGATGGGGGAGTGTGTGAAGATGTTCAATGTATTTATCAGATTTATTGGTTTGCTTGTAAAAGCCTTATAAGTTGCTAAATCTATTTTCTTGTACCAGTGTGCAAAAGAGTTCACTGATGCTGTAACATCTTGTATAAATATGGTAGTGTGTGTGTATATATATATAAAGAAACATCTATGTCTTTGGATGTTGGAAGGGAATGCAGTTTGCATTGGAGAGTGATAGCACCAAGGTGTATTGCACCATTTGCACTACTGTGCACTACTGAATTAAGTGTAACTTCTGCTGGTCCATCCTGCTTTGGACATATGATCAATGTATTGTGCGCCAGCAGGGACTTAAACAAAAATCCTAAAATTGATGAAAAGTTGAAGTGGAGTTTGAACAATAACTCAAATAAAGATGTTTGGAATCATTATCAGAGTCCGTTCCACCTCCTGTTGGGAAATATTGATGAATATTAGAGTCAAAGGGGAAACCATGGCTCAGTTCTGCAGAATATGAAGACAGAGTCATTCATCTGAATTTCAGTGCCAACACCAGCCCTAAAATTCTTCCCAATTCGTCCTTATACTTATAACCAACAAAGCATCCTCAATTAAACTAATCTTGTCCATGATGT